AGCGGTTAACCTAGATGTCAACCTCCCGTTCCTACTCGATTATGATAACCTACTGCTCGGTTCACTACTAGGTTGGAGCTAGGTAACTAGGTAAAAAGGTACATTTAGCTAGATCCATCAAGTGAATTCTCAGCATTGTTTCAACGGTAAGGCTTTGGATTTTCCGGGGGCGCGCTCATTTGCAAGCTCAAATATCTGGCTGAAAAACAATAGCTTTTTCAGACCTTTTATACATTTTTCTAGTATGTTAACAGCTTGTATATTTTGTAAAGATAGATAATTGAATGAAACTAAAAGACTGGCTGGAACCATACTGCTTATTGTTGTAAGTTCCCATTCCCATCGTTATGGATTTTTTTAAAGCATGAATGCAACAGTTTGAAAGATGAGTTAATGTATCTTATTATCTGGAAAATTCGGCTTGGTATGTGAAGTGTCAATAAATCATCTTTATTTGTTATATCACAATTAACGAGTTCAATATCGGTACGGTCATTATTACAAGAACGTTTTAACTTTTGAGCTTTTACACATTGTATTATCTCAAGTCTAACCACGAATCTATCATAATTACAGTACTAAAATTATTTTGATTGGACAGAAGCAAACGAAGGATCTACCTTATACTTTTCCGTATCTGCTAATGATCGAACTGCCACAACGGATCCACCTTGAAATCCTGTAACACCAACAACTGTTACCAATGGACGCTCTGACGTGCTTTATTGACTTATTCAGTTCTATAAGTAGATAGTCTAAATCGACGAGTAGCCTTGAGTGAGTCATATTCACTACACAATATCCTGAAATGAGTCGTTTAGTTTTGCTGAGCTGTGGATCACCTTTACTTATCTTTCTATTTACTCAATGCATGTGGTGTCGTATTAAACGCTTTATTTAAATCTTGATTTGAATACAAACATGTAAATTTAATAAGTTCCACAAGATGAAAATATCTGACAATGGAATATGCAATTCCAGTATCATAGTTAATTAACATATCACTGGTTAAAATCTACTAAAGATGTATGTTTAGTATTTTACTTTGGCAACTTAGTGTTACAAAATCGCATCTGTCAAATAATGTTTATGAGCAAACCTCTTTTTGAAATTTTGCAAAACAATTTGACGGTTTGAATTCACTACATAAACAAAGGCTGTATTTATATTTATATATCAAGCCGATCGTTTCTCTTGTACACAATGTACTATGTGTACGATAAAAATATACCTGAAAGCGAAATAATCATTTATGGAAAAGGTACGTTCTGTTCTATTATATCGTATGAATAATCACATATTTTTGAAATGAACGTGAGTGGTGAAAGTGTCACTACGCTCATTGCTATTTTACAGAAAGAAGAAAGAAACTTTTTCTGTATATTTGGAGAGAGAAAAACAAATAGAACACATTTTCGCCTTTTTTGTACGTTGACCCGAAGAAAGAAAACGATTTTTTTCCGAGAACAATTGATTTAATAAAAAGCAAAATATAGTCGTTTTCTTGGTTCGCAGCATACTGAGAGTTCAATGAAAACCTACTTGAAACGGTTAAAACATGAAAATCTTCTAAGATTGAATCAGAAACTTCATAGCAAAGACAAGCCTACCCAGGTCAGAAAATCCTACTAGGGTCCTATCAGTTCCTATTGGATCCTATGAAGTGCAGGACATGACAGGATTCCTGTTATAGGATCCTACAAAATCCTATTATATCCAAGAATAGGTCTACATAAGATTCTGATTGCAGGACTATGTGGCATTTCCTATATGATCTTACAACAAGATCCTACATAATCGAATCACAATAATCCTACAAAATTCTATAATAGGATAGTACAGTATGTTGTAAGATTCTTATCAACTCAGTAGGCTAGTAGTATGCAATTACTAGTTGATTAAGTAGCTGTTCAATATCAATTTTGGATTTTTCTTGGCTAAACGAGTATGTTAAGCGTCTTTCGATGCTTTTCGTTTTGTTTCTTTCTCACCAGTGAAAACCTGCACTGTAGCAGCACAATATCTGATGGTCGAGGATGGTAGCCAATCACTGACTGTTGGCGGTTATATAGTCACTCTAACACTTTCTCGATCTCGACAGAAAGAAGCGCAAGAGAAAATAAATCATTGTCAAAGTAAATAAAGAAAAGTGCAAAATGCTGGATATAAATTGTAGATTAAAACAGAACTAGTCGAGGATTTTCGCATAGACTTTTTTGTTTCCTTTAAGCGTTGTCACATGATTTGTAGTCGTTTGGCGTGTGGATGAGGAATCTGGGAATCTTTATAATTGTACATACATCAATCTGTCTACAGATCTTCTCACGGCGCTATCGTGGACTAATCTTACGTTTTAAGCTCTGACTTCCCTTTCACAGGATTCAAGCCAGAGCTGATCACCTGCATGGTAAACTGCCTGCAAACTGCAGGCAGTGCAGGCAGGTTGCAGTTTGCAGGTGAATAAAAAAAATTTCCACTAACGGCCGGCAGATAAAGAAGAATGTTTTCCTGCCGGCACTCCCTGCAGGGGAGAAGATTTTACCTGCATTCTCTGCAGGGAAAGACGTTTTTGTGTGGAGAATGAAAATAGAGAGGAGACGAAGATAAATACTGATCAGACTGAAGGTCAGAATGATCTCTTAACGAAAAGAAACTAACTAGCAGTTTTTTTTGTATACTACTAGACACTTTAAGATGAAAGAGAGAAACGCTTTATCCCTAATCGCTTATATCATTTGATATTGTCATTTTCCTCTAATATAATGGCCTAGACCGCATCTGTGTAGAATTCTTATTTCTCTTTCTTAAATGAATAAACTTTAAACTAAACTAAACGAAAAATATAGAATAAAGAAAAAGAAATGAATTTCGTTCTTATTGTATGTAATGTTTCTTTTAGTATGCGCACTAGGTATCAGAGCTCCTAATCGGGTGAATTTTTGATGGCCCGCCCGGAACAAGCCGGGCCAAGAAAAGTCAAGGCCTGCTCGACCCATCATGCGAATCGGTTGGCCCGACCCGGCCCGGGTGGTAGTCTTTCCTGGACCGCCCGACTCGATCCCGACTCTGAATTCGTTTTAGACTCAATTCAATTTTGTTATGGCAAAAACATAGTAAAAGCTTTGCTAAAGATTAGTTCAGCAGCAGTATGGGTTAATTAAGAAAACAGAAATAACTTTTTGGCTGGGAAATTTCAAAAACATATGAACAATAGCGAGAGAAAGAACAGAAGGAAACACAAAACAAGATAAGGAAAACAGATGTGGATCTTTTTCAAGTGATTTTTGAATTGATCGTCCAAATAATATATCTTCTACAGTATCAGGATTTAATGATGATCGTCGTTCATTAATTACAAGACCCGCGGCACTAAACTGCCTCTCGACTCCAGCAGACGCTGCTGGAATTGAATATAAATGTCGAGCAAGCTTTGCCAAATATGCACATATTCGAGAGTCTATTGTACAATAAACTCAGTAATGGATAGAATTCCTTTACGTGGTGTATTTGTTTCTTCTCCTAGTATCAGTCATCCGAATTGACCAGTGATCAAACTCTTTTTCTCAACACAATTCACTAGATAATAGTAACATACTGTTACTAGAAAATAGCCAAATTTAACTGAAAATCTGAAGAAAACTTTTAAAATTTCTCGGGCCGGGCCGGACCGTAAAAAACGCTGACCCGACCGAGCTGAAAACTTTTCTCGGACGGCCCGCCCGGCCCGAGAAAAAAAAGCGAATGGCTCGGCCCGGCCTGGCCCGAGGCGGTTCGGTCCCGGGCCGGGTCATCGAGTCGGGTGGATCGGCAGGAGCCCTGCTAGGTATACTAGTACATAGAAGATGACGCGCAGGGATGAAAAATTATGCAGGTGATCAGCTCTGATTCAAGCTTACGATCTATTTCAAGCAGCCCATAAGAACCAAAACGTTGACCGCTATGCAGCCTATGCTACCTTACTGCTTTTGCTACTGCTCGCTTGCTTTCGTTATAAAAGTCGTAAGAATAACAAGAGTTCAGTATCAAAAGCATCGATGGACCAATTATTTAAGAGAAACTCATGAAACCTTAAGATAAACAAAATTTATTCAGAAAAACTCTGCTCTTCTGGCGTCGTTTAAAAACAGTTTTGTATATTCTAATTAGGAAAACGTGCTGCTCATTGTAAAATGCTTATATTGTTTCTGTTGTTTTTTCGATAACTTTTTGATCACTCTTTGCAATCAGAATGGAGAATCCTTAAGATCTCCTAGAAGCTGGCCGTAAAAAATATAATCAATCTGTTGAATCTAGAAATGTGAATTATAAACAACGTAAAGAAGAATCATTTAATATTGATGAGTTTACAACAAAAGATGTTGATATGTCGGAAGAACAAAAGTATAATACACCTGATATACAATTAAATAAGAGGCACACATTCACAACTCATGCCAATTCTTCAACACCATCGTGGGATAACAATCCACGGTTGGCTATGATCAATGATCAAGACTATGTTTATCAATCATTATTATCAAATAATACACGAGAAGATGACGGTGATATAGATTTTGACGATATTGAAGCATTCGATAGTCCTGACAGTAGTGCCTCAAGTTGTATGTGTTGTGTTTAGTTCTATGCTATTTTGTTTCGTTGTTAATGCAATCCTCGCCGTCGCTCCTCACCATAGTTCTAAGTTTCCTTTACAAGCAACTTCTATCCCAGATGCAGATGACTTTCTAAAATTTTGTCCGATCTACCAGAAGGTTTTCTATGTTTAGCTAAAGCAATATTTGATGAGTTCATTTTTAATTTTCTTTCTAATATTTGATGGAATTATAGAGAATACCGAGAGTGGAATCAAGGATGACTCTGAAGTATTTTGCTTGTACTGGAAGACGGTTAGATCCCTGCTTGTCAGAATACTTCAGGCTAATTATCTCCTTGTGCGGACGAAATCCTAGTAGTAACGATATGTAGAATTTCACCTTTGTCTCTTTCTTTTTCGGAACTTCCGATAAGGAATAATATGTGATATATTTGTATTTTAGCTCATCTAAACGATAGCAGTCATGACGACGATAATACTAACGACCCGAACCAGGAGGTTGAACAGATAAACTTCTTGGTAATGGTTGTAGTAAATATAATGTTGAATCTAAGTTAATTTGTATTTCTTTATATGACAAATAATTGAAAAATAGTTGACATGATCCATTAGAAAACACATTTAATGCAACAACTAAACTGTTCAGTGTTAATGCATAACATAAACATGTTTCATTATCTTGAGTATTCAACCACGTTGTTAAACTATCTGTATTATTTGTTAACATACCATTTGCAATACAATCAATAGTAACTGTGGTTAAAATATGAGGAGGGATAATTAAATAGATCAGTAGAATGAAATGCATGATTATCTATTCAATCTCATGTTCTTATATGTATTTAATATGTGTTTTTATTTGAATACATTATTTATTATTATTTATGTGACTAGTTAAAAATAATAAGTATTATACTGAATCTTTTAGAAAACTTTGAAACAAAATGATTCTATTTTCAAGAAAAATAATTGAATATCTTTTGTTGTGAATAGAGAGGGATGCAGACGAATCGGAAGACGAGATTCTTCAAACTTTTGAAGAAATTTCTTCTTTTCAACTTTCAACTTTACTTCAAAAGGTGTTGGTCTTCACACAAAGAATTTTTCTTCTAGATATCCATCTATACTAAACATATAGAAAGTTATATTTGTAATAAGTATGGTCATATAAAAAAAAGAATATTTTTATTCTGTAATTTCACACTTTGAAGTGTGAAATTAAAAGGTTTTATAAATATACATTTCAAAATATTTTATTCTCTTGCTCTTGATTAAATCGAGAAGGTGTTAGAAGCAAGTGACTGATGCCTCCGGTTTTTACTACTTTAAAATGCCAGCAAATACATAGATCCATTTAATTTTCTTTATCCGGCTTTTCGAAAATTTACGCTGTCATTTTCAAGAAATATCATACAAATAGATAATACTTTAGCTAATAACAGGTGTTACAGAAAAAATGATGTAGTTAAGATTTCCCATTAAATTCTCTATAAAATGGTGTATAGCAGATAATCCTAAGGTTTGAAACGATGTCTTAATTGAACAAACATCGAAGTGTCCTAAAAACTTAAAAAAATTTAAATTTCTTCCGACAATAATTTTGAAGTTTGAACTGCACTTTGAAAGTGGTAGGAAGAAGATAGCGCATCACCTTAGGATGTTTAGATGTGCTCTTTCAGAAGACTCATTTGGTGCTCATTGGTGTGATGTAGTAAAAGTACCTTAAGATTCACCAGCGCATCGCTAGCCCGTCAAGAAAGCGCCTCACATGAAAAAAATTAACATACCTTTTTTATTAGCTCATTCGTTTCTACATCAAAAACTGGAGTTATCAATATATTTTTAAACCTTCAAACCCAATACCCCCTGAGTTATAGGCTCGATAAAAAGATCCGCTATAAGAAACAGTGAAAAAGTACAAGTTTCCGAACTTCGTATTTTTTTCCGTCATTTTTAACCGTGTAGAGTCAAGCTACGTCGTACTCGAAAGAGCAAACAAAACTACATCGATCTATGCGTCCGGTTAAAACTTCCGGATCAAAACTGAGTCTTTAAAGATTTAGCTCATCTGATTAGTGATTGAAGAGAATGCAGAAGAAATTGATGAAGGATTGATAGGTGAGATAAACAGATAATTCATTAACTTATCTGTTAGACTTTTATATGTGTTTATATACTGGTTTTAGAACAATATCCAAAAATAACCTTAAATCGTGGGACTATGGCTGAAAATCAACAAAAACTCTCCAGTGAGGAACAATTTAGTTTATTGCGTCAAAGTATGCTGTTTTTGAACTTGGAACATTTTCCCTCGGTAGCTGCTTTTTCTCTCCTTTATTATTTTAGGTATTGATAATGTGTCGATAAAATTAACCGGAAATTTAGAAACATATATGAACAACTTCGATAAGAATTCCATCGTTTATCTAATATATGTACTCGATTAGTAAGTATAAAATTACTGTTTGAAAATTTTATCTGTAAGTCAGAATAACCGTTCCAGCATGAAGACATCAATTAATCAGAAGAACATAATTTTCCTCACATTAATGAGGTCTATATATACGATTTTCATCAGAGGATCTCAACTGGTGAATAAAGTTATTCTGAGCTATCAGACGTTTTTGAGCTCGAATAAGTTTATTTATCAACACAATAAACCTAAACGAAATATGGAAAAAAAGCGACGAATACTGATAAAAAATGGATAGTCTGTTTGACGTTATTTATTGTAGTCTGTACAAAGTCTGATAGAGCTTCCTTCTCTGGGAGAAAAGTCAATAGGCGTGTAACATGAGAAACCTATCCCGTAAAAGAGTGATCTGATTGTCGTAAAACTCGGCGCTTAAGGGTTTGAAACCATGTTCTTTCTTTTGTGTAGCGAACCCTTTAGTCCAAAATGTTCCCTAGTAGGGTTTTCAGAAAACCATGATTTTTGACCTGCATATGATGAATAAAATACATTTAAAAAAAGTGGATGAAAATGCAACAATAAGGTCATCATTGGATTCATGACGAAATTTCCTTCATTTTGAAAAAAACTTCAAGTCTGTCACTCAAAATTTAAGTTTTGAAATTAAGTTTGAATTTTTAAAATTTCAATAACTCAGCTGAAATAAGAGATGGAAACCTGGACAAAATGTAGAGAATCGGTAGAGAATCGAAAACTATAGAGTTTTCGGGCTGTCACCAGTTAATTAAAGTTAGGGAAGCCGTCAAAAGTCCCATCGGTGAATAAATTCACCGGTAACTGGATTGGAGAGAAAATTGAGAACAGAATTATTCAATATGCCTGAAAAAAAAGAATATGGAACTATCGTATAATGGAATGAACATTTATGTATATATTCTTTTCTGTACTATACTTGACTTGATATTTTCTTTCTTTCTACGTACACTATAGAGAGAGATATAAAGCAAGAAATGGAGAAAAGAACAAATTTTATATTTTCATAACATGTTCATCTCTTACAGATTCAAGGAAGAGAGTACTCACTCTAAACTTATTTCGTATTCTGACAACTTCGCGAGTTCAAATTGCATTAATTAGACAAGTTGCATTCCCATTTGTTCTACTAGTTTAAAGTACAGGAGTTGTACACGATACTGATGTATTTTTTAGAAAAGAATCCCCTTTAGTTTGTGAGGTATATCGTTGTAAATATCGTATAAAAAAAGTTTTTTGCACTGATAGGACAAACGGGAATATTGTTTGAAATATCGTTCAGCAGAAATATAACTATTTACAAGGCCACCTTCCCAAGTGCCAGACAAAATTTCAGATCAAAAGTCGTTCATTCGATGAAATACTTTGCAGGTTAGCAGAATACGAAATAAGTTTAGAGTGAGCACTCTCTTCCTCGAATATATAAAAGGTGAATATTTGATGAATAAACTATATTTCGAAGAATATTCCCGAGAATATACCGAGATATGTCCAATCTAAACTTCCGACACAAGATCTAGTTATTTTTAACATTTATTGAGATACTTTTCAGTAGTGTATTAATTTTGCTAAAGATATCTTACGCATTTCACGTCTAAAAATGACAACCCATGTGTCCGACGATTCATAAAAATAGGCCATAAAACCTAAAGCAATGGGTATTGTAGCTGCTGGAAGAGCAAACTTTTTTGTCGATGTTTTTCTATAACAGCAGATTATGAAACCATTAAGAATAAATATACTAAATATTATTGTGAAATAACATTTAATTAATAGATATAGATTTTGTTGAGTAAGTACTTTTAGCATAAA